ATGAAACGACCGAGCTGGTCTGATGAACAGAATCCGCCGGTAACAGCACTTGTCGTGCAAATGTATGTTTTCTGCTGCGACCAGTTGCATTGTCATAAACTACGCAGAGAAAGCCCGTCACTCACAGGAAGGGTTTCATCCGACATGGATGTGATTTTCCCGAGGTAGGACGAGTCTGTCCACTCATATATCACCATGGCTAACTGACCTTGAGAGCTGGCATCGAAAGTCACTGCACAAGAGAAGTTGAGTGAGCTACGGGATTGGGAACGCTGAAGAATAGTATACCGTTGATATATGTCTTGTCATTAGCCCACATCCCACTACATATTTGGCGGTCATACTCTGAATATGATGAGTTCAGTCAACTGCATGCCAACGATTGTTTACAGAGGAAGCGGCCTACCATCATCCACTACAGGAACTTCATAAGAAAGAGAAGAATGAGCGAATAACAGTATCAAGAGAGTGAGGTAGATTTTGAAGCGGTCGATGACCTGGAACATGGCGGGAGGGAATGGAAGCGTGTTGATACGCGTTTACCAGCGTTTACCACGAGCTGCGGCATCACTCAGGGCTGTTCTCGATTGCCTGTGTCATCTCACGCCTCGGCTCTTAGCACTCACCTTCTTCCATTATGCACGGTGACGATGAAGACGTTTTCGACAGCGTAACTTGGGATTCTACAACAGCCGCACCCTATGAAGTTGTACCATCATTTTCGGGTCCAGGATTTAGGCAAGATACAGCAGAAGGCAATGAACCAGGCCCTCATGAACCCAAATGGGAAGGATACCTCACAACTGCAGTTCAAGATCCTATGAAAGAATTGGCAGAGACAAAGGACGCCTATGTATCGTATCTGGTATCGGCGAAGGTGCGTAACAGAGCGTATTGAAAGTCGGTTTCCTCATTAACGGTGCCAGCTTAGACAAATCTCCCTATTTTCTCGACACCTAACCCGTCTGCAAGAAGACGATTCCAAGATTTTGTGTTCTTGAGAGAGCATCTTGTGAAGGATTTTCCGGCATGCGTGGTTCCTCAATTACCAGGCAAACACCGATTAGGTACAATCGTATTCCTCACCTTTGTTGTAATTCGTTTGGTTAATGGTTCGCAGAATATATCACTGGAGACAGATTTAGCCCGGAGTTCATGGAAAGGCGACGCTTGGAGTGAGTCCCGTTACATTATTGAGTCGGAAATTTTTTCCTCATTCTCGATTTCCCGTAGCCTTCACCGATTCTTACAGCGTTTGTCCCGCCATCCAACTCTTCAGCGAAGCACGTTAGTTCGTGCTTTCTTTGAATCAACGGAATGGGTTCTTTTTCCTCACTTCTCTTACACGAAGTAGCCCGTATTAACCAACGAGGAACTGTAGCACGTACATATGCATCAACACGTCGCCCATCCACCTGGCCCCGAACCATCAGCCGGTATTGTGGACAACATCACCGACACCCTCCTTAACGCCTTTTCTCGCGTCCGCAAACCCGATGAAAGATTTGTGGATATGCGCGATACTGTCGACAAGTTTGAAGACGGCCTAGTTCTTTCTGAACGTCTATGGACAAGAGTCCGAGGTCGAACAAGCGGTATGTCCAAGTCCAATTATGGATAACCCTAGCGTTTTTCTCTAAGACTAAAACGAGCTGGTGATCCGGAATCTGGCGAAGACCTCACAGCAGACTATCATGATTTGGCTGTCGCTGTTCAAGGCCTTGGGTTTTTAGAATCCGGTATCACAGACCCCCTCAACCATTTCTCCAATACTCTCTTGGAATTCTCCGCCCTTTTACGACATCTCGTGAGTTTTCTGGAGACCATGTAGCGGCAGTCGATTCCCAAACTTACATTTACGGACCCTACTTACATCTTCAGAACCAAACCTCGACGGATCCTTTCCTCGCACACCTTCACTCACTCCTGTCTTATTCGCATGCTAACAGAGCTGTTCTTAAATTACGAGATCAGAAGCAACTGGACTTTGAGGAACTTTCGGATTACCTGTCTGGAGTGACTGCAGAGCGCGATAGATTAGCAGCGATTGTAAGTGGGCATGCTGGGAGTACTGGGCTGGGCCTCGGCGCATATCTCAAGGATCGAGTCGATGCTCTCCGAGGCACAGATGATGATAGGAGCAGGGTGGAGAAGATGAGGAAGTTGGATGTCAAGATCAAAGAGGTTCGCATGGAATTGGGTTGTCATTGAACGAAAAGCTTACAATATTCTGCATATCTCAGCTTCAGGATGCTGTAACGACTGCTCATGAGACCTCCGATGCATTCAGTGATGAGACCCTTCGAGAACAGACGATATTTCAACATGCTAAAGAGGCGGAGATGAAAGAAATGCTCGGGAACCTCGCCGATGGCCAGATCGAGTTTTACAAAGCAGTGAGTTCATGTATTCTCTTGCCTTAGCACTCAAGGATGTCTAATCGCTTTTCCAAGGCAATGGAGGAATGGGATAGAATAATACCAGTCATCCAACGCATCCGTGTGGACGTTTAATAGTTGCAAGCATCGAGGATTTGGACTCAGGTCGATTCACGCATACGCTATATTTTAGAGAACAATTTGTTCCGTTAATCAGGCTGTCATGAACGTGATTCCGCTCGTCACATTCTATTTCTGAGGGCTTTCGTTCGTATGTGGAAGGGAACTGCGAGTTACGGTTGCCTTACTCTATCGAACTTCAATGATACAGAGAGGAGGAACCGCTCTAAGCAATCCATCGTGGCGTGTAGTTGTAGAGAATGATGAGTTCAAAGGGAGGGCCAAGATGTGACGATGTGAAATGGTGCGTATGGAGCGCCCACGCTCAGACACCACCTCTAAGTAATGGATCTACCGGTTACCACTGACGCCAATTCCGAGACGTCGATGAACTCTTCATACCGGAACTTATTCAAGCTTCACTCATTGGTTTCTACGACCTCTCCTGCCTCTTCTTCGTCAAAAGATGTCCCCTTTCAATACCTGAACGTTCTCCTCACCCTTCTGCTCCAGCTCATCGCCGGCGAATGCGCACTAGTTGTTGTCTTTTGCTGGATTCGATTCGACGAGTCTGAGGTATCTCAGTGTGATCTGACACGGATGAGAATAGAGAAATTTCCTCTTTATAACATGACAATATGCCATCACGAGGCCCATCCTGATTTGCACTCCGACCACTATCAGGAACTATTCTCTCTAAGAAACAATGGCTACAAAGAACGACGACTGGAATACCGTTCTATGGCGTCCCGATAACTCTGACGAATGGAACAAACCCAAGCGCGATCCCTACGCCAAAGTATGGAACGAAGAATACCTCGCAACCATCGTCGAGACGATCTCACGCCAATCTCACGACCTCCGAAAGCTCTCTATGGATGTCCACTCCAACCCAGAACTAGGATACGCTGAATACAAAACCCACGATATCCTTGTCAATTTCATGAAGAAGCAGGATGGATGGAAAGTGACACCAAATTATGAGCTTCCCACTGCTTGGCTTGCGACATTTGAGACTGCCGAAGCGAAGGAGGATACCAGAGTCATAGGAATAAATTCTGAAATGGACGCTCTACCAAATATTGGGCACGCCTGTGGACATAACCTGATCGCAATTACAGGTGTTGCTGTCGCACTAGGTATCTCGCCTTCTTGTTTGCACTGGAGTTCACGATTTGACCAAAGTCGTTGTGTTTAGGAATCAAAGCTGTTTTTGAAAAGTTTCATCTCCCCGGTAAAATCGCTTTACTAGGTACTCCTGCTGAAGAGGGTGGCCGTGGAAAGGGCAAATTATTGAAAGCAGGGGCTTATAAGGTGATGGCAGCTTGTCTGATGTCACACCCAGCTCCTGGACCCAGAAATACTTTGTCTCTCACTAGTAGTTTGGCGTTAAAGAAAATCGAAGCAGAGTTTTTTGGTTGCACAGCTCACGCCGCCTTGTCGTGAGTACAACGTTTGAGTGTCAGCAGGCCTCACCCACCGTCTATCCAACAGTCCCTGGGAAGGCAAGAATGCTCTTGACGCAGCTGTTCTTGCGTACACCAACATCTCCGCTCTGCGCCAACAAATGCATCCCACGTGGAGGGTGCATGGTGTATTTGAAGGGAAAGATTGGGCTGTAAACGGTACTTGCGCTTCCTCGTCGATTGTTCAGTATATCTTTTCTAGCGATTTTATCTTTAGTCATTCCGGCCTACGCGAAATATATTGCATTAGTCCGTGCTCCCACTCGTGCTGAACAGGAAATCGCCGTGAAGAAGGTCATGCCTTGCTTTGAGTACGTGTATTCTCACCTAACTCCTATATATATATGAGACGGTGCTTTCCCTCCGATAGAGCCGCCGCAGTTGCCACCGGATGCACTGTCAAGATCACAATCGATGAAGGAACGTCCGATTTGAGGCAGAACATAGGACTCGGTCAAGATGTCGAAAGAACATTCAAGGCGAAGTATGGAAGAGTTGAACGAGAACGATGGGGTATTAAGAGTGCAAGCACAGACTTTGGCCTGGTTGGATATGGTAAACGCTGAATCCTTTGACGTTGAGAAAGGGAATCTGATATCCGCCGACAGAGCTTCCCTCGTTACATCCCGGATACGCCATCCCCACTGTTCCGGATGGCGGAAATCATACTCCCCTTTTTACCTCTGCAGCTACCACGGAAGATGCACACCGGGCGACGTTGGACGTTGTTGAAGCACTTGCTTTGACAGGAGTGAGAGTGGTAGTCGACGATGAGTGGTATAAGAAGGAAGTTTGGGAGAAATTTGAGGAAGATAAAGTGCGGAGAGATCATGGGGTAATTGGAACAGCGTAGTAGAAAAATAAGTAGAAACGTTGAACTACTCTGTAACGTTATCAGGGTTCTCAGAGTCAAGGTAACTGGAGCTTGAGCCTGACACTATCCATTTACCATTACCAGATTTATCACAATTGAAGAATATTAATGTAAAATAACAGAACAAAATTCCACCACATAAGCTCCTCTCTCTATACACATCTCCCTGGCTGGGAGTCGAACCCAGCTTTCGCGCGGTTCAGATAGAAGCCTCGTATTTGACAGGCGCGTGTACTAACCGATATACTACCAGGGACATACTCACAGTAATCGGATGACATATTGATACTGTAATATCTTCTTGACAGGTTTTCAGAACAATGTAATTGAACAGTACCAAACTACCGTCGTACGCAAGAACCTTTTTAATATCCAACTTGCACGATGAACTTCCTCCGTTGCAGCCGCAGAAGTAAACATCCGGGGTGTAAACTCCTATGTTATAAAGGGTAGGAATCGCATGACCGGGGTGTAATGGAGGAGCTGGGTAGTGGACACCCAAAAGTGAAAGATCAAGAGGTAGTTGGAATTGCCTAAGAAGTAGAACTGAACTACTTGGGAGCATTATTTCGCCCATCAAATTCTTTTCTCTCGCTCTCGTCTTAGCTTCACATCGGACTCCTGAACTGTAAGCGATAGCTGGGTTGAAAGAAGATATTGTCAGCTGGAAAGCTGTTTGGAGGTGACAGATTACTACGCACATTGATAATCCCAGTGTTCACAGCCCGAATGACATGTAGCTCTGCATCTTCTGAGGTTCCGAGTGTCGTATGCTGTGCGTCAGCAGGAATCCATGGAGGAGGTTCCTGAATAATCAAGGGGGGGGAACTTATCGAAGGTGGAAAGATGTTGAAATGGACTAACCTTATCGTTCTTCGGGGTCGGGTTCTTGTTGTCCTTCAATTCTAGGAGAATGGCGAAAGAGACGTCGTCTTCGAGATACATCTGGCCTAATTGGGACTCGACAAAATTGAGTTTGACGAGGAATGATCGAAAATACTGGCCGAGCGCGTGCGATGACATCGCGTCTTCCACGCTAAGAACGATTGCGTGAGTGGACTGTCCCCCCTCTTGAAGATTCAAGGAGAGCTTCGCTACCTGGTGTCCTTGTCAAACGGTTCCACCTGAATCATTGTATCGATTGAGAAGATAAATCGCTCAAGGGTTGACTGATCTTTGTCCTTGATCACGACTATCACTTTCTCAACATTTCCCTGTATGTTTTGATTGAGCTCTCACTGTTTGTAGAAGGGAGACTGAACGGAAACGAACGTGAACAAGTTCTTCACCAACGGCTTTGACTGCACCAGAGATATATTCATTCAAGGCCGGATGTCGCGACTGGAAGACAGGAGTATCATATTTCTTGCGCCGTACGAATAAATCGGCTGGGTAGACTTGTCGGACGTAGAGAATTGTATGGATCGCGACTTCGACTGGTGACTTTGAGAATTCTCCTTGTAACAAGAGCCCGGAGTTAGAAACTCACTGAATTCAATAATGCCACGGACGGTTTCTGGGACAAGCTCAGTGTAAGTGGTGTTTAATCGAGAGGTAAGCGGATATTCACGATTATAGGTAAGTGACTTGTTCTGGGACATTATTCATCAGGTTTATCCGTTCATAATAGTACAGAGAAAAAGTCCAGCGCTCTGAGAACTGTAAGTCAGATCGGCTTAGTCATCAACTCTACTCTCTTCCTCTAACCATCACCTTTTAAATTCCTTACTCACCAGTTCAAGATGTCCGAACGTAAAGGTCTGCACACGACTCCTCTCCTGCAGAAGAGCTCTACTCACACTTAAATCTTCCAGTTCTTAACAAATACTTTCCACCGGATTTCGATCCGGACCTCATCCCTCGACGTAAGGTACCTCGCAACTCCCAGCAAGTAGTGCGTCTTATGGCACCCTTTTCAATGTAAGCCTTATTATGGATTGGTCCTTGGATGGTACTGACATATCTTACGCTTTTAGGCGGTGTAATACGTGTGGCGAGTACATCTACAAAGGGAAAAAGTTCAACGCAAGAAAGGAGACTGTTGAAGGGGAGGATTATTATGGCATCAAAATATTCAGGTTCTATATAAAATGGTGCGTGTACACCAGGTCATTCAATGTTTATATTGATTGTCCCTCTCTAGCACTCTCTGCTCCGCCGAAATAACTTTCAAAACCGATCCCAAGAACACTGATTACGCCGCCGAACATGGTGCATCACGAAACTTTGAGCCCTGGCGTGAGGAAGCAGCTGAAGAAGAGGAAGACCGATTAGCAAAGTTAGAGGAGGAGGAGAACAATCCCATGAAAGCCCTGGAAAACCGAACTATCGATTCTAAGAGGGAAATGGATATCCTTGATGCGCTGCAGGACATCAGGGCGAGAAATGCACGGTTAGAGAGGGCAGGGAATACAGTTGATGTTGTTGAGGTACTTGGCAAGAGAGAGAGAGAAGAAGAAGAGGATGAAGAGATGAAGAGAAAGAGGCTGGATGATGAAGAGGACGAGAAGTTGGTCAGAGAGGTGTTTTCCAAGGTCGATATGGCAGTCGCATCTGGCTCCGGATCAAGTGGAGATACTTCGACTTCTGTTACGGTTAAAAGAAAGGCCGATGCTATGGGCGCTGAGCCGAGCATGCACAGTCTGTTGTCGGATTCAGCCAAGTCCTTATTGGACATGAAGAAGACAATTACGTCGAAAAAGGATATCAAGGGGAAGAATTCGTTGGGCATCAAGATGGTGAAAAAGCAGAAAGTGACCACTTGATGGGCTGGTATGTCTGGTTCTTGTTGTATGTACGATTGTTCTACTTTTTTGTTGAATAGAAATTCATCAGGAAAACAGATAAGATCCACAATCGTGGATTTTCTTTAACGGATGTCCGACACAATGGTTTTCCCATACCATGTCTTCAGCACTTCCATGGGCAGCATACTAGTGTAGGTGGAGTACTTATTGGGAAGCTGGGATGGTTCAAAAACTGCGTGCCTACGAATTTAGAGATGGATCCCGGCGATTCCGTACGGGAACGACAATGTTCAACTTGGTCGGCTAGTTGCAGGTTTGTCAGTAGCTTCACTAAAAAGTTAGCTTACAAAAGAATTGAGCAAGCTGAAACCTCGGAGGGCTGTGATTCTGCTTACTATGCTTGCTACGAGGCGATGCCTTCGAGCCCAACAACCGCGTCAGCCGGCATCTATCATTTTTATAGCTCCCTATAGTCCCCTATAAATGCGCATGACATATAGTGGATTCGGCCGTTCACTCTACCCTAGGATGGCCACGAAAAACGACGACTGGAATACCGTTCCATGGCGCCCCGATGACTCTGACGAATGGAACAAACCCGAGCTCGACCCTGATGCCAAAGTATGGAACGCAGAATACTTTGCAACGATCTCCGAGACCATCTCAAGTCAATATGACGAACTTCGGAAGCTCTCCTTGTCTGTTCATTCGAACCCAGAATTAGCTTTCGTCGAACACAAAACCCATGACCTTCTGGTTGATTTCATGAAGAAACAGGAGGGATGGACCGTGACGCCAAATCACGAGTTGTCTACTGCTTGGTGTGCGACGTATGAGAGCCCCGAAGCAAAGGAGGATACTAGAGTTATCGGGGTCAATTCAGAAATGGATGCGTTACCGAAGATTGGCCACGCCTGTGGACATAATTTGATTGCGATTGCGGGGGTTGCTGTTGCGCTGGGTGTGTAATTTCCTCATACTCTCGCGTCCGACGTAAGTCCTAAGTACTCAACATTTTAGGAATCAAGGCTGTCTTTGAAAAGCATCACCTGCCGGGTAAAATCATCCTATTGGGTACACCAGCAGAAGAACGTGGCCACGGCAAACTGGCATTACTCGAAGCAGGAGCTTACAAACAAATGGCGGCCTGTTTGATGGCACATCCTGCTCCTGGACCTAGAAATACGATCTCTTTAACTAGTTGTTTGGCTCTCAAGAAGATCGAAGCAGAGTTTTTTGGATGTGCTGCCCATGCTGCTTTGTCGTAAGTATAGGAGCCTACTTTTGTTCCGAATCCTTCCCGTATTATTATAGATTGCCCGCAGTACTGACCTGTTTGTTGATTGTTAGACCCTGGGAAGGAAAGAACGCTCTTGATGCAGCTGTCCTTGCCTACAACAACATCGCTGTACTTCGCCAGCAAATGCATCCAACCGTTAGGATCCATGGTATTTTTGAAGGGAATGACTGGGCGCTGAATGGTGAGTTTAGTTGCCTCTGTCCATGGGTATTTGAATTTATTCACATTGTGACTCAGTGATCCCGGCATATGCCAAGTACATAGCAGTGGTTCGCGCACCAACACACGCAGAGCAAGAAGAGGCGATGAAGAGGGTTTTGCCTTGTTTTGAGTGCGCTCTCCCCTCCTCAAGTGCCCTCGATCTCTAATTCAATGTATATCTACCCAGGGCTGCTGCTACGGCTACCGGTTGCACCCTGAAAGTGACCGTTCACGACGGCACACACGATTTGAGGCAGAACATTGGTCTGGGTCGAGACGTTGAAAGGACGTTTAAAGCGAAGTTTGGGAGAGTAGAGAGGGAAAGGTGGGGGATCAAGAGTGCGAGTACGGATTTTGGGAATGTTGGATATGGTCCGTTCTAATCATAATCTCTTTGTACTTGCAACGCGCGCTTATGCTCATCCATCACGCTCACAGAACTCCCTTCATTACATCCCGGATATGCGATTCCTACCGTTTCTGATGGAGGAAACCACACTCCGATGTTTGCTTCTGCGGCTGCGACGGAAGAAGCTCATCGTGCAACGCTGCACGTTGCTGAGGTACTTGCGTTGACGGGTGTGAGGGTGGTATTGGATAACGATTGGTATCAAAAGGAAGTGCGGGGAACCTTCGAGGCTGACAGAGTCAGGAGGGAACAAGGAATGATTGGGATTGCCTAACTACAATTGCTAGTGTAACCGCCTTGCTAGCATAGGCATGTCATCGGAGACTCCGCGTACTCCAGACAAAGCCACAAATGTCACCCCTTAAATACGCCCCTCAATCGTCCATTATGTATCGTCGACGAGCTTATTCCTGGTATATTCTTAACTATGTTATAAGGAACGGGTGGTTTTGTTTGGCATGTTTCAATAATGGCCGAATGAATATATAAGAATAAGTACATGATGAAATACAGGTATCCCTGGTAGTATATCACACGCACCTGTCATACAGCCTTCTGGATGTTGAATCTTGAAAGTGCCCTTTTTATTTCACATAATT